GAACTTGTCTGCGATATCACCTTCGGTGGAAGCGGACGTTAAACGCTAAGAACAACAACAACAACAACAAGTCATGCTACCAATTTTGTTGTTCTTCGTGTTTAACGTCCGCTTCCAAATTGTCTTATTTTCATTTTTATTATCTCATTTAATCTGTAATATGGTTTAATATATTTACAGCCAATATCTTTATATTTTTTATGTATTAATACAAAAATCTTACTCATCTTCACCTCATCATTATCGCAAAATTTACAAAATCTGTTATTTCTAACAATACTTTTGCATCTACCTAAATAAGTTATGGGCAGATAAACAGATTTTTGAAATATAATTAGCATATTTACATGGAATGGATTTGGTCAAATAATATTGTATGTTAAAATTAGGACTGAAATACTGATAAAAGAGGCTTTTTGATGAATTACAAATAGGTTCTACACATAATTGTTTTAAAACATCTCAAATTCTATGCCTAATAGTTTTGAAATATGACGAGTTAAAAGATTTTCTCCACATATGTCAAGTAATCTCCCTTTAAAGATCAACATATCGGATTTACGAATCATATTAAATTTAAATATTGTCATTGTAAAAGGTGACAAATCACATACAATCACAACATAATAAACTATCATAACATGAGAATACTCTGAACAAAGTCAATTAATTGTCTGTGGTACTTATCTAAATTGATTTCATTTGTTTATTTCAAAACAATTACGATGTTGATGACCAAAAGTGACAATTGACACAACTTGCAATTAAATAAATAAATAAATATAGCTATAATATTGAATTGTTTATTGCACTATATATACCATAATATGTTTCATGCATTATAAATACTGTTTTAATAAACTATTAAACAATCACTAATTACAATACATTACAACGAATTGCAACAAAAGTATACATTAGCTTCTTGTCAACAAAAATCACATACACGAGTTATCTCTCATGAACCTCGATTCGTGCAAAAAGTAATGAAGCTTCTTAAACTCAACTAAATTGTTATTTTGTGTTTCCACAGTCAACACTTTTGGAGTTACTAGGTGTTGTTTTGGAGTTATTGGGTAATTCAACGGTATCATAATCATGATGCATATATTTGAAATGAATTCCGATAATCTTTCAAATAAATACACCGACAGCGCCATAATCAGGCCTGTGGAGAGATCAAAATAGTTATTCGTTATATTGTAATGTATTATGCATTTAAAATAAATTAGTTTTGTGGGAGGAATCAGTGGTTTTCAAAGTCAATTTCGGTGATTTAAGTGAATTCCGGTGATTGTAAATGAATTCCGGTGATTAGTCGGGCCCGCCCAAATACCATTCTAATCCTCATTAAACCTATTATAGTTTTCTTACACTATTACACCAGTGTATATCCCTTTATTATCCAAACCATATAATTTTAACAGTTTTCATATCTGGGTATATCTTTTTATAATCCAAAATTATATAATTTTAGCAAAAAGTAAAGAATAAAGATACAGAAAAATAAAAAGAAATGGGGTTTAACATCCTACTTTTCTGCACCATGCAGGCTAATGATGATGGATAAGGACATAACCTATCGCATTACATGTGTTGCTTTTACTGTGGACAATACAAATTAAATCATATACTTAATTCTTATACTAACACACTGCCAAGAGTTATTATAGATTTAATAACGAAAAACCTATGGTAAGTATACAGATTAAGAGATTATAAGTATTGTGATGTAACAATACGACAAATCTAAACAATGCTATATTATTGAGATTAATCAGGATATTCCATAATCTCACTTGAAAGGCTTTAGTTCATATTTTGGAAATGGGCCAACATTTTGCTGCAGTAAGTAAGAATGCACAGGAGCTCTTTTAGGCCTATTTTGATACTGTAAAACAGTGTCCAAATTCCATAATCAGTAAAACATGCAATACTATTAAATGCATAACATAGATAAAAATAAAATAGCAAAAATGGTTAACGGTTTTCCTCTTTCTGCAAACTGGGGTACTGAGTACTGACACTTTGTAGAATGTGGTGGGATTTATAGCTAGACTGCATAAAATTACATACACCTCCAGTAAAACATTTCACTCTGTAGGTGATTGTACTTTAACTGACAATAAAAAGGTGTACAAGTAACAAATTCAGCATCTTAAATGGCCAACCTGATAAAACTGACAAAATCTTTAAAGGGCACATAAGATGGGCAAGGAAACGTTTCGGTATGTGTAGCCAATGGTCACTATATCCACTTTGGGGCAAGTTCACACCAATCTAATTAAAATTAATTCAGCTATCTTCACTCAAAGTCGCAAAAAGAGAAATCCAGTAAAAACGACTTTGCCAATTATCGAAAACACTCCTAATCCCCTCAGGCGCCAGTGATGTCACAGTGACCGAATGTATATTCGGAGTGTTTATTCTTTAATTACCTATATACAGCCGGTGTGTGTATTCATTAATGTCTGACCGATTCCTTAATCCCCTAATTAAATAAAACAATTGACTACCGAATAATTTGTTTGTAATTTATTTTAATTTCAGATCAAATTTAGAATTTGTTTTATAATATCCCCGCCCTCTATTCTCATGACAGTGATTTTAATACTGTTTTTTAAAGTGACTTTTTGATAAGAGTCCCTCTACCATTGTGTACAGTCCAAACGATTCGAGATAGGCCTACATTCTAATTCTAATTTCCCTAAGCAAAACAGTACAGGAGTAAAGAGATGTGTTCATGCAAAATGTATCATAAAAGTCAAACATGATTGAAACGCAATTTGTAAATGACGATCTGTATCTCGTTTTCCAGAAGCCATCGTACGACGCCTGTCTTTCTGCATGTGGATTTGACTTCATTACTCTGATATAGACCGTAAAAATGAAATACCAAAAAAATAACTCTATATACGTTAGAATTACAGTACAAATAAATTTTGTTTTTAACCTTTTAAATCGAATAATAGATTTAGAAGGGTCATCTAACTATCTTTGTGTAAGAATAATAAAGTGGCAATTGTAGTGTCGTTAATATCTGTAATTATTCAATCCGACTAAAGTTGCACAGACATGGGGTCATAAATTAATTTACACCTTGATGTGGGATTAAGAATGCTGATTATGTAATTATCTTTTTTACGCCGGCCAGATCAAAGACATTTAGCTGGAACATGTGCATAATACCCCACGAACGAACGACAAAAGTTACGGGGGAACTTTTCTAAAACATTTCTCCACACGACAACAAATCGTAGAATTGTGCACATGTTAATTGTATAAAATAATTAAGTTTTACTCATCAGTTGTTTATAATTATTATTTACCCAATAATCAATTAGCTTTGTTCACCTTGTATTATTTGTTGATTGGCGTTTAAACAACATTTAATTGACTTGATATGAAATCTGAATATATATTATTCGATGGATAAACGGTTATGATAAGATTAGGTTTTATGTCTAACATCGTTTAACTTCTTTATAATAAAGGTATTTTACAATTACATTGACCGTTTTATCACTGACCAAACGGCATCAGGAACTCCAGTATGATAACATGTATTTGATATTCATGTCAGTCCATAAATCCCATGCAATTTTCGAGCCAAAATTTAACCTTAGTTACTACACCTGTAGTAGGCATGGAACCGTACATGGTAATAAGATTCCCAGCATTGATTGGCTGAGATATGAGGGTGATCTATTGTTATGCATAGTCATCTGAAAATTCCATATTCGCTGTGAATTTGAAATGGAGTTACGATAAAAGTTGTTCTTTGTGTATAGAAACGGTTATTATTATTATATATAGCTGATAATGAATATATCGACAAATGACTGAAATCATTTGTATTTCTGTACTTATAGAGAATAGTTTAGGATATCAAATATTACGGGGTTATCCAAATTACCGGTAAATGCGCTAATTGCTTGGGTCGTCTTCATTTGCCTTGTGGCCTATTTCAACAAAGGCACCTTAAATGGATCTACGGCATACTAAGGCATTTTACATTCAATCTAAAATACTCCAATCACAAATGTCTAATCTATAACAACACAAGATGATAATTTGGTGATTATGATTAGGCCAGTCACATGTTAATTGGACCATCAATACACACTTGTCAACTGGTGGTGTTTATAGAGAGTGATATATTGTACAGACAGGGATATATTATGTGTAGTTCCTGTGACGTCACCAGCCAATCAACCGGATTAAGGGCGTGATTGAAAAATTTAAAAGCATGTCGGATACTTAAACGTTAATCGCCTAATTAATTTTAATCAGATTGGTGTGAACTTGCCGTTATGTGGATATAGTAACCATTCATATACGTACATGCAATTTAGATATTTCGCCTCATGTGGTCTTTAAGCTAGTGATTCTACATGTTAGTCATTCATTAGTCCTACAGAGTACAGCATTTGTTTAAAATAATCAATAATAATTTCCAAAAAACTTTATTAACAACTTTTTGATGTGTTCCATAAGTTAATAATAGAAATACCATGCCAATGTAGCACTGCCATTGAATACTTACTCATCGACCTCAATCAAAGTACACCATAAATTGGCTACCCGTAAATATTTATTGGATTGTTTATTATAATATAATGCAGTAGGATAGATTTTATATTGTCCACTTTTATAAATTATACATCATATCATGTATGTTGATTTTTTATATATGAACTGAAAAACAACAAAATGATTGCATAACCAAGTCTTATAGAAGAGAGAAATTAATTTTCTTTAAGGGTGAAGAGAAAAGGGAAAGTTTAATATGTTCATTGAAATAGGGCCTAGAAGAAAAGGTAGGTTTTTTTTATAACTTTCACTCAGACTGACCTGATGAATGAATGAGGGTGTCACTGATGACTGAACAGTTCAGTGTTTTATCATTCCTCTGAAATCAAGGTGATCCAGAGAAAGTTAACCACTCTCCCATTCAACCACCAAGTACAATGGTTTCAATTAATAATATGATTACTTACAATTTAATTGGATTCCCACTTTTATGTGATCTCTTATAAAAAAAAAAATACGCAGTGTTGCTAATAATAACAAATGAGAGACGCCATCTTGACGGGTACCTGCTATCACGTGACACCGTTGCCCGCCAACGGACGCCAACATTTTCGAGTCTGGATAATCGAAAATAAACCACATCAACGAGGGATTTAAAGGGCTTCTTTTAAGCGAGGTGTCAGTATCATATAGTTCAGTGTGACCATGCAGTTATCAGATAATAAATGACTATAGCATAAAACATATTATAAGTATATTTATATAAAATAACATGTATTTATATTTAAAGGGCTTAAATGAAGTACGGTAGAGAACTGCGCCATACCGCCACCGGTACATTCATCCCAAACTTAGGCTGCCTATCTACAGCTAGCTCCGGCTGAGAATAGGCCCTAAGCTAATTAACCGACATTTAAATTCCTACATCGACGATTTTAGTCGAAAACACTGAGTATGCTTTTAGAAATTTTTAAAAGTATTTATTTCTCTTCTATTGTCATATTGAATGAAATTAAATATGTTTATTTAGCCGCTGTGTGTATGAAAAATGTCAAACTAATCACAGCCGAATCACAAAATAGTCCTCTAAATTATTCAATATGGCAGCGCCCATGAAACATAATTTCACAGAGGCGTTTTTTTTTGCGAGAACAAATTTAGGAGTATCTAACCTTGTTTTGAAAGATAAACAGATTGAAACTCTAAAGACAGTTTACAATGGTAAAGAATTTATTGCAATATTACCCATAGCACATATTATATATATATATATATCGCCTTTACGCGAGTGTCAGCGACATGCCGTGTTTACATAAAACACACGTGCGTGGGTTATTTTTACTCTGTTGTCTAAACAAAGCGGTCTCGAGTCGATAAGTCCCGCCCCAAAATGATCACATGAGCGTTTTAAATGGCGGATAATCAGTGCAGTGTCACATTCTGGGAAGTATGACGTAGATGGATCGCTCCGTGCAGTATGCGGTACATTATGTATCCTTAATTTAAAAGTCAAAATAAAAAGTCTATTTTATTTTTCATCATTTTTCGTATATATATATATATATATATTTATAATTAACAAGCGTATGTTAATTTACATATTATGTCGTTTCAATTTCCAGAATATATTATTATGTCAATTTCAATGACAATGAAGAATAGTTCAGAGATCAAGAGATCAAATTAAACTGAGGAAGGAAACTTATGGTGGCTGATAGTGGCCATGTTAAATCTCGCCCTTTTCATAACGCGACAACACGACATCACGACAGTATTGACGCAATCATACGACACTTAACTCTGTCGTATCATCGTGTTATTTTTATCCTAACGTCGAGATGTCGACTTATTGGCATAGTCTCTTTCTACAAGTCACAAAAATACAGCTGTACTCATTACATCATCTATAGGCCTAAGTAGTAGATTTGATAAATATAAAAGAGATAGTAGGAAAACGTTGATTAATTATTTGTTTTCTCAAAATAATGAAACATTTTGTGTCCACAATTGAATTATATTTGGTATTATATTTAAAAAATCTAGAATTACAATAGCAGGACCAAAGTGAGTTAGCTAAGTTAATTCCTTAAAGAAATAGTGGTGTCGGGAGGTATCGAACAAGTAAGCATTCATTGCCATGTGTACGACACCCACCAATATTTATAGATGACTGGAGCGATAGTTTAAAAATGATTTCAGAAGACAGGGTGGGAAGGGGATTGTAAAAAAACCAAATCGGGTCACATTCTTTAAAAGCACAGCATTATCATAGTGCAGCACGTCACCCCAATAGTTGCAGGAGTTTTTTTGAATGAGGTGGAGAAAACGATTCGCAGCATGTCATTGAGTCAACTAGCGTGGTTTTGAATACCCGGTTGTACGTGACAAGGTGTAGGGTCGCCTGTCAAACCTCGTGGGTTTTCTCCGGGTCCTCCGGTTTCCCCCCACTGCTAAAGACCCCTACGCGCAAACGATTTATTGAAATAAAATTAAACCATATGTTAGTCCCGAAATGACCTAATTTGTGTCGAGTGGACGTTAAACCCTCTCTCTCTCTCTCTCTCTCTCCCATTTGACATCACTAATGGGATTGAGGCCTAGATGAGTAAAAATAGGCCCAGTAATATCTTCAACTATGAACACACTCTAAAAGCCTCATACCCCCACCCCCCCCACGTCACCCAAATCGATGCAGGAGTTTTTTTATGAGGTGGAGAAAACAATTCGCAGCCGTTATTGACCTTATCGCATATAGGCTTGCATCCGTTTGACATCACTGATGGGATTGGGGCCTAGATGAGTAAAAATAGGCCCAGTAATACATTCTAAAAGCCTCATACCCCCCCCCACCCCACGTCTCTTATTTAGTTTTAGAAATAATTCCAGAATCAATAAAATGGTATCAATGATGTTTGATACAACTGGAAAATAATATGTCAAAAATTGATTAAACATGAGAAATATTATTACATATTGAATCCGTATCAGTGATAACGTACATTTACTCAATATGTTCCTTCCAATGGATCATCATTTAACATGAAACAAGGAAAGCAGCGATCGAAGAAAAAGATTTAAAAACACACATTTCAATATGACAGTAGTGATTCGGTCATGCATTTACATTCGAGAGTGTCATGCTTTCTTTGAAAGTAATGATTGTGCCAAATTTGAACAAAGTCAGTTTACATTCGCGGCCTATAGGTAGAGTGTTGACAGATCAAACGTAAAAAAAACAAAGAAAAAACCAGACCTATAAAAATTTATTTCTAAAACTCTTTTAGTTTTGAAATAATATTGTTTTCGCGTGTGCTAAGTGTTTCAGCGAATACATGTGGTTACAGAAAGGGTCTTGTAGATTAAGACTATAGCGCATGTGCAGTTTCAAACTTCCGAGACGACAAGTCGACAAGTCGATGATACGACAAAACCAAACTGTCGTATCATCGACTTGTCGTCTCGGAAGTTTAAAACTGCACATGCGCTATAGTCTTAATCTACAAGACCCTTTCTACAACTATTCGCTAAAACACTTATCACACGTGAAAACAATATAATTTCAAAATTAAAAAAGGTTTAGAAAATATATTTTCATAGATCTGTTTTTTTTAAGGTGTTATCTGTCAACCCTCTGGTATAACTACAGACTGCGGAACTAAATGTTCAAATTTGGCATAATCATTACTTTCAAAGACAGGATGGCATGAAATGAAATGAAATGGGGTTTAACGTCCTACTGTTCTCTCCTAAGCTGGGCTAAAGACGACGGGCATACGCCATACAGTGTGCTATGAGGGGATTTTGCCCGGGAAGCGGCGCTACGGCCCGCTCTTATATCGAAATCCAACTGCCAAGGGATCTTTTACGTGCACGCCAATGTGTACACGGGACCTCGGTGTTTCGTCCCATCCGAACGACTAGACAGCTGTCATTGTCAGGCCCTCCGTCCTGCATCACTGACAAGGGGGAACCACGCCGGTAAATCTTGATGAATTTTGTCGCTAATGCAGGGATCGAACCAATCTGTGAAAAAAGTCGTCTAATATCTCTGTAAAAGATGACTGTTTTCAACACATGCAATCACGTCACGCGGTGTCAATCATTGGACCAATGGCGCGTGCATTGTTTATATAAGACGTAACTGCTTCGGGTAGAATGATGCCTTTTACTCATTTTAATACCCATTTACGCTACATAGGAAATATTTTTTACCTACAAATACTTCAAATGTCTTTATTTATTTTTCTAATACATAAAAAAAAATTTTTTAGAATTAAATTTGTCGGAGGAATAATGTTAATATTGGGGACTCATTAAGTCGCATCGATGTCATTCTTATCAGAGGCCTAGCGAATATTCACTTCTGATCAGTGTGGGATCGAACACCCGACCTCCAGGCTAGCTAGCCAGCATCTTGCCCACGTAGCCACGCGATACTCTGAAAGGATGATACTCTCGGGTGTAAATACATGACCGAACCACTACTGTCATATTGAAGACGGGCATACGCCATACTATGAGCGAAATTTTGCCAGGACAGCACACTATGGCCTACCATTATATCGAATTCCAACTACCAAGGGATATTTTACGTGCCAGGCCCTCTGTCCAGCACAAATGACAAGACCTCGTCGGAAAATCTGGATGAACTTTCTCGTCCAATGAAGGGATCGAACACCCAGCTTTCGGGTTACCGAACCAACGTCTTACCTGCCTAGACACTGCGACTCCCCCGCAAAATATCAAGCACCAAAAACAATGGATCGAGGCCTAGATGATTACACACTATGAAAGCCTCATACGCCCCCCCTCCCCACGTCTCTTATTTTGTTTTACAAATAATTTCAGAATCAATAAAATGATATCAATGATATTTGATACGACTGAAAAATAACATGTATAACATTGATTAAACAACATAGGTAGTAATGAGAAATATTACATATTGAATCCGTATTAGTGATAGCGTAGATTTACTCAATACGTTCTTTCCAATAGATCATCATTTAACTTGAAACAAGGGAAACAGTCGATCGAATAAAACAGATTTAAAAAAAAAACAGGTTTCAATGTGACAGCTGTAGTGCTTCGGTCATGCATTTACCTCCGAGAGTGCAACCCTTTCTTTGAAAGTAATGATTGTGCCAAATTTGAACAAATTCCATCTAGATTCGCGGCCTGTAGGTAGAGTGTTGACAGATCAAATGTAAAAAAAAAACAAAAAACCCCCCCAAAAAACCCAGACCTATAAAAATATATTTTCTTAAACTCTTTTAATTTTGAAATTATATTGTTTTCACATGTGCTAAGTGTTTTAGCGAATATTTATAGAAGGTAATATAATCCTTTAGTGGCATTTAGCAATTGGAAACATAACAAAACTGACACAGTTATATGGGACAACAATCACTGTTTTATTATACACAAGCACAACGTTTCGATAAATATACTCTTATCGTTATCAAGCACAATGATAACAATAAGAGAATACTTATCGAAACGTTGTGCTTGTGTATAATAAAACAGTGATTGTTGTCCCATATAACTGTGTCAGTTTTGTTTTTTTATTTATAGAAGGGTCTTGTAGATAAAGACTATAGCGCATGTGCAGTTTTAAACTTCCGAGACGACAAGTCGACAATACGACAGTTTAGTGTTTTGTCGTATCATCGACTTGTCGTGGCGATAAGTCGATGATACGACAGCACGACAAAATAAGGTCGATGATACGACAAAATCAGACGATCTTACGACAGTTTGTTCTGTCGTAAGATCGCCCGATTTTATCGTAAGATCGTGTGATTTTGTCGTGCCGTCGTATCATCGACTTATCGCCACTGTAAGTCGATGATACGACGACACGACAAAATCACACGATCTTACGACAAAATCACGCGATCTTACGACAGAACAAACTGTCGTAAGATCGCGTGATTTTGTCGTGTCATCGACCCAATTTTGTCGTGTCGTCGTATCATCGACTTATCGCCACAACAAGTCGATGATACGACGGCACGACAAAAAGCGAAACTGTCGTATCATCGACTTGTCGTCTCGGAAGTTTAAAACTGCACATTGCACATGCGCTATAGTCTTAATCGACAAGACCCTTTCTATAACTATTCGCTAAAACACTTGGCAAATGTGAAAATAATATAATTTCAAAATTAAAATAGTTTTAGAAAATATATTTTTATAGGTCTGTTTTTTTTTTCGTTTTATCTGTCAACACTTTACCTACAGGCCGCGAATCTAGATGGACTTTGTTCAAATTTGGCACAATCATTACTTTCAAAGAAAGGATGACACCCACGGATGTAAATGCATGACCGAACCACGACTGTCATATTGAAACTTGTTTTTTAAAATCTTTTTTTCTTCGATCGGCTGCTTGTTTTCCTTGTTTTCAAGTTAAATGGTGATCCATTAGAAGGAACATTTTGAGTAAATGTATCATTGATACGGATTCGAAATGTAATATTTACTACCCTATGTTGTTTAATCAATTTTAGACACATTAATTTCCAGTCGTATCAAACATCATGATAGGGACCTGCCATTTTATTGATTCCGAAATTATTTGTTAAACAAAATAAGAGGGGGGGGGGTGCGTAGGGGACTTTCGGAGTGTGTTCATAGCTGAAGGCAATACTGGGCCTATTTTTAATCATCTAGGCCCCGATCCCATTAGTGATGCCAAACGGATTAATACGCGATAAGGTCAATAACAGCTGCAAATCGCTTTCTTCACCTCATAAAAAAACCTCCCCTGCACTTATTGGGATGGCGTGCTACACCAATGCAGTGATTTTCTGTGATCTGATTTGAGGTTTTATATAATCCCCTTCCCACTCTAATAAAATAAATTGGAAATCTTCTGAAATCGCTTCTAAACTATCGCTTCAGTAATCTATAAGTATTGGTGGGTGTCGTACACGAGGCAATGCATGCTTGTTCGATACCTACCGACACCACTTCTTATTCAAGGAATTAACATAGCTGACTCACTTTTGTCCTGCTATTATAATTCTAGATATTTTGAATATAATACCAATAATTCAATTTTGGGCGCAAAATGTTTCATTATTTTGAGAAAACGAATAATTAATCAACACTTTCCTATTATCTCTTTTGACGAGTCTTATTGTATCTAATCTGATGTAATGAGTGTAATGAGTACAGCTGTATTTTTGTGACTTGTAGAAAGAGACTATGCCAATAAGTCGACATCTCGACGTTATGATAAAAATAACACGATGATACGACAGAGTTAAGTGTCGTATGATTGCGCCAATACTGTCGTGATGTCGTGTTGTCGCGTTATGAAAAGGGCGAGATTTAACATGGCCACTATCAGCCACCATAGAAACTTCTATTAAAATCAAGTTTTAAATATTTCTCATTTTTCCAATGTTGCCATCTATGGACACTAATTGATTTAACAGTTTATTTTTATAAATATAAATATATGTATATATTTTTATAATTAACATGTGTATGTTAATTTACATATTATGTGGTTTCAATTTCCAGAATATATTATTATGTCAATTCAATGACAATGAAGAATAGTTCAGAGATCAAGAGATCAAATTAAACTGAGGAAGGAAACTTCTATTAAAATCAAGTTTTAAATATTTCTCATTTTTCCAATGTTGCCATCTATTGACACTAATTGATTTAACAGTTTATTTTTATAAATATAAATATATGTATATATTTTTATAATTAACATGTGTATGTTAATTTACATATTATGTGGTTTCAATTTCCAGAATATATTATGTCAATTCAATGACAATGAAGAATAGTTTAGAGATCAAATTAAACTGACGAAGGAAACTTTTCTATTAAAATCATAGTTTCAATGTATTTTTAATAATTCTAGGCTTGAAGTAGGCAAGACAATAAAAAAAAAAATTACCAAATGTGGTTATCTCTATCTTGTACAGTTCATCAAATACAGCACCCCGGAAAATCATGATTGTTAATTTTTTTCAAGAAGCCAATTTTTATACGCCCACGTCCGTTAACTTTTGTTTGTGGGCACTCTAGCTGCAGCTCACAAAATGTTATTCAATTTTGATAACACTTAAATATATGTTTATATCTCAAAAATCTCGGATGGATTCGATTTTAGGTACATATAGGATCGTAATTTCCTGGATTATTGCCCCTGATTGTACGAAAATCACCAACATAGCTCGAGGACCTTCTAGAGGTGACAGTTTTTATTAGATTTTACACTTTGTGTTTATTACACACAAAGCAAGATTGAGTTCAATTTTTGGGAAAATCGAACCATTAAATATCCCGATAAAACTGCGTGAAATGAGTGAAAGGCACCATTATGCCTGAACCAGTAACGTCTTATGTAAACAATGAATGCACCATTGACCCAATGATTGACGCCACTTGATGTAATCTTTTACAGAGATATTAGAAGACTTTCGCAATCCTCTGTGAAACAGATTACCTGGTGTGCCCACAAGCCTTTGTGGATGGCGGGTGAACCAGCGTGACGACAATATGTAATTAGATATCAACGTGGGCACAACCAAAAAAACTAATTCTTTATTGTGCATCTTTGATTTCTCCAAAGCCTTTGACCCAGTCTCAAGAAAATGTTTATTGCTAATATTCCTTCAGCATAATAGTAATGGAAAAGACTTCATTCTTATTATATCTTTGTAGAACTACACATCTTAAACTGAACTTTTCGGATGATCTATGTAAAGTATAGAATCCTCTTTGGGTGTGAAACAAGGATGTATGATCAGCCCCACCTTGTTCAATATTTATCTAAATGAGCTGCTAACTTACATAACAACACATTTAATTCTAATTTAGAAACATAATAACCTCATATGCTGCTCTTCAGAATTGTCTTGTATGTCTCAATTCATTCGGTACTGATTTAAAAAAATCAGACATTGATTAATCAATTATACAACAACTCTTCCAGATCCTAGCTTGTTTTGTGAAGACAAGTAAAATGTAATTTTGAACTATTATAAACGAAACGAAATATTGAGATGACATAGAATACATGACATAGAATTCTATTTTTCTACCTGTGTATTCATCTGCTATCACGTAACAGAATTCTTGACAATTTTCATGCAAAGGAGATTATGAGCATATTGCAGCCAGCCAAAGGTTACTTCCTTCTGCTGCTGTGCTAGATCTATTTATTGTTGGGTGCACAAAGTTGGATACAGGAGGTGTAAAAGAGTCTAGATGTGTCTATTTTATTCAATTATTAACTGTCAATTGTGTTTAAATCCATTGAAAATCAAAACCATCTGATGATCTGGAGAGTTCATTATGGGCTTGGCATGTAAAAAAATTTCTAATTAATGATTTATATAACATTTGATAAAAAAAGACTAACGATTTTATAACTTATTATAATTTATTTAAAGTTGAAATAAATATTGTATACACCATTGATTTGTATTTATAACTGTATACCAGTTTGTACCATCCGAGTACATCATAAGTTTATCTATAGGCAAAAAGAAAATAACAAAGCATAGAGGAATAATATAACTACTAAAATATATATCACAATATCAGTCAATATGTTGACTGAATCACAGTTTATATAAGACAAGCTTATTTTACTTATAGATAATCTATTATACATATAGATCCTAATTCTCTTCTGTTTATATATAAATACCAATGAACAAAACCTCAACAGAACATATATCAAAGATTGCATTACCAAATTAAAACTCTTAAATCCTCAAGAGAATTAAATTTGCTTCTACATAAATTTAATTAAATTTTTGTCAGTATCTCATTCTCTGAACTGAATATTTAAAACCTATTCCAAGGTTAAAGAAAGATGTGTCATTTCTGCTGGCCAGAAGTTACAATGTTCAAATACTAAATTAATCATTTTTTCAAACAGCATTTACATAACCAACCAAAGATATATTTTCATGTACACATTAAAAAATTCCCAAGAAAACATGGCTCAGCCTCAGGTAAATCAACAATTAATAATATTCACTGACCTTTTTAAAGGTTTTAACAATAGTATTAGGATTATAATAGTTTAAAATTTTCCTTCTGATTTATGCAGTTTAAGAATTTACTGCCGAAGTCTAAAAATAAAATAAAACTATTTAATTTATCTGTAACCATTTTCACTTCTATGAATAACAACCTAAGGCCCACATTCAACAAAAGTAAACAGTTTTAATTTTTGCGTGTTTCATCCAACAAAATATTTGGTAATCTAATAATGGTATCTACCATATACTTGTAATATACAATTCATCTTAAAACTCAACAATATAAATGGTGAACAATCTACGATGACTCTGTCTATATGTAACTGTCATTTTACTAGGCATTAGTGAGTACATATCGTTAATCAAAACATTTCTAGGAAATAATCTGGCATTGAAGATGAAACTATTACATATACATAATATTGTTAATGATCAAATTGTAAATATCATTTTGTATACTGCTAAGTCATATATCATTTTGTATACTGTTAAAAGTCTCTGAACATCATTTGAGTGATTCTTTAACGCCTGTCCAGTTGTGTTCATAATATCATATATTATGATGAAAGACTGCAACACAAGACTTCTCAATATTCGATATATCTAACTATCTATCTAATGTATGCCATCTGCAATCCTCCTTGTTATCAATTCAATAACTGTGGTGACATTTATCCCAGACAGTCACTCAACTGATACTAATTGGACTTGTGTTATACAAGATATAGCAGTATTATGTTATTATGAATGAATTATTACTACTGGTATTGGTGATATACTGCTCTTATCTCAATGCAGAGATGACTTCATTTTATAACATTTATCTCAGATAAAGGCAAATTTCCTTTTATAACCTCTTTCTTCTATTTTTCAATCTCTCAGATACATACATACATACATACATTCATATGTTGTATTGTCCTCACAGTTTTATAAATTCGATTCATGAAAAAATGATAAGGAACATTTTAAAGTTGCTTAATTTAGTACACAACTTAAATCTTTAGGATCAATTTTCATTGTGTGGATGCTTAAAAAACATAAAACAATTACACAAATTTTCTTCTATCAAACCCATTCAAGCTGTCTTACAAACGATTATACCCTAATCTACATAAAAATTTAGAAAAGTCAACAGCAATCCAATCACCTCAAAATATTACGTTAAATATCTACGTCTTCTACTAATACATAAAGTTATGTTTCAACTAACATAAAAAAATATTCCTTCCAAATAAATAAGTTACTAGTTTATTGTGTGCACATTTTTACATGGGGGTGATGTAATAATTTGAAATAAATAGTTAATAAATATTAATTTATTGTCTTAACTTGAGACAAATCATTACTTGCATACAAAACAAGTTCTAAAGCACACATGTAATTATTAGTTATTCATAGTTTCATTCATATTGTGGCGATCTTCACAGAACTATGCAACCAAAGGTTTCTATAATTTAATGTACGAAGTATTCTCAACAGACATAGTATTAATAGATCATTTCACAGCAAAATTTAATTGGCTCATAGGACATATAACCATGCTGTCTTTTAGTATTTCACTAACAAAATCTTTCTCTTAAAGACATCCTTTAAATTACATGTATATGTACATGACTGAATAGGAATAAGAGTCAAAACTACACCCAGAGAAAACATAAGTGGTAACCATGTCTTGCTAACATCACGAATCTAGGTAGGTCATTTATATTTGATACCTGTTACTATCGCCTTGTTCAACATTCCACAAACAATTGTAGTCGGCAGTTTTTGAGTGCTGTTTAACGAAGTCTACATGAAGAACAGACAATAGTATACTTCAATTCCTACTAATAACTGAATATAATTTTCAGGTGAGAATGCAAAAACAAAATTTTTAGTTTGTAATGTTTAGCCTTGACTAATGATAAATTATGAAGTATAATGTACAGATATTCTTGATTTATGTCCATTTGTACATGGACAATGAATGATAATAACACACAATATTACAACTAATTTATCATATATATATATATTCAATCTATTTAAACTATATATCTTTGTCTTGTTTCAAATTCTTTTCTTCACTATTCTGATATTATACCAAACCTAGATAGGATTTCAAGGCTATGTAATATACGCCCGCATCAGCTAAGTTATCCAAACATATACATGACACAAAACCTGATAACGAAATATTTAAAAAGTTGATTGGCTTCTATTGGTTCCGAGTGCTTATTATTATATAAGTCAATGTACCTGTAATCAGATGATTACTTTAGCTGTTTAACAGAAATCATTGCATATCATGAGCATAGGCACTGTCAATAAATTTAAAGTCAACTGAATGATAGCATTAGCCTGTAGAGTCTTCAGAAGCAATTCTGAATGATGGATGGACAGATAGGGTGAATAACAAGAACTGATAAACTAAACTGGATTTGTAAACACACCCCCCCCCCCCCCCCCCCCCGGCCAAAAAAAACAAAGAAAAGAGTTTGGCTGCTTTTCTGATAAGAATTAACTGAAATTCTATAAAAAGTTCTTTGTTGAGTTTAATTATATATCTATGTTGTGATACCAGAACAGTATAATTAGCAACAAAGAAACAAAACAAAGACAAATAGATCAATTACAACTGATATAATAATGATAATCAATTGGATAGTCTATCTAAAGGAAAGACATATGAAATTGGCATCTCAGAATACTATAAAGTTTAAGCTATGGTCATCATCATTTTATTTAATTGTCAATGTAAGCTGAATAAATTAATTTCAAAGGCAACAAAATATTTTGTTCTTTAGTGAAGAATCAACATAACTTTTTAACAACTATTTTGACCTAAGTTCCTGTTGGGTCACCTTTTAGGTGAATATTTTGGTTTTGTTGGTCCCTCAGTAAAAGAACGAAGTTCATACTGAGCTACTTTATTATCAAATTCAAACTTGTCTCGAGCAAATATCAGTCGTAAATCGGTGTGAAGATAAACTTTACTGGACTTGGTACTCGCAAATCTTAAATTATAAAGAAAAGAAATCAATTTAAATTTAATACATTTCTTGAGGCAACAATATGTTATATATTATCATTTTCAAATAAATATTTTTAAATGGTCAAATACCATATTGCTTCTCAGTCAAGTCACCCCTAAAAATATCAACTACAAAAAGCATGGAAATTATACATGTAACAACTAAATTTATAATTATCATAATTTCTGCATTATTATAGCTTATTTCCAGAAATATGAATTACTATGATTGTAAAGCTAATTTGGTTACTAATAAAACCAGCGGCTGCCAGGCAGGATACGCCCACATTTTGCAAGAGATGGATAGAGAACAAGCTAAACGAAAAGCGATTTTCGTACATAATTCAGGAAGTTACGGTCCAATATGCACAAAGATCTTTGGGTTATAAAGCTATGTTTCAAATTTCATCAAAATCAGATAAAAATTGTGGCCTCTAGGGGGTCCACAACCTTGATAAACCATATATACATATATTAGCGTGCAACGGTGATATATTCAAACGTTTTTTGAAATCGGATAAAAATTGTGACCTCTAGAGTCACCACAATCTAAAAACCTCGATTTTTCGTACAATTAAGGGCCATAATTCAGGAAGTTAAAATCCGATATGCGCGAATATCGAAAGGAACCAAGATCCTTGAGTTATAAACACAAATTTCAAGTTTCATCAAAATTACAACCTCTAGAGGGTCCACAACCTTGATATACCATATTTTTACACTATTTGTGTAAGAGGGGCGCCATTTTGTCTGGCAGTTTTGGTCCGATTTTCACGAAATTCATACTCAAGCATCATTACAGTGTAACGGTGATATATTCAAAGGTTTTTTTAAATTGGATAAAGGTGACCTCTTAGAGGGGCCACAAGCTAAAAATGTGATTTTTCGTAAAATCAGGGGCCATAATTCCGGAAGTTATGATCCGATATGCACAATTATTGAAAGTAACCAAGATCTTTGGGTTATAAGCATGTATTTCAAAATCAGATCAAAATTGTGACCTTTAGAGTGTCCACAAGCTAAAAACGTGATTTTTCGTACAATCAGGGGCCAGAATTCATGAAGTTACGATCCGATACATGTCAATATCAAAAGGAACCAAGATCTTTGGAAGATAGATCTATATTTCAAGTTTCGTCAAAATCGGATAAAAATTGTGACCTGTAGAGTGTCCACAAACAAATTGTGGATGTACGGACAGGGGCGACGACAACATACATCCACATGAAAATGTGGGCGTATAAAAACAGTTTATAGTGTAAAAGAGAAGAAAGTTGCATTACCTTAAATGTATTAAATATCTAAGGTAAGATGGCTCACTACTATTAGATTCAACTGGCATATATAACGTTCTTTGTCTAATAAATGTCTGACTTCTAGGTGGCATATCTGTCATATCATACATAACAACAAACATCTTAACCACTGTTTTATTAGGATTGAATAATGTCTAAAAAATAAAAACATATATTATCAACAAATAATGTCTACACCCCCCTATATTCAAGTCCCTATGTGTTATTTTAAGCAATGTGAGTGACTAGCAAACTACATTACTGTGGAAAATAATCTCTAATAGGTATATCAGTCCAAAAATTGTTCAATTCCATTCAGTATTTACATAATACAATGTAGGTATGTGGTATTGAAATTTCTTCGATCTATGTGGCATCGAGCGAAACAAGACATTGCCATCTGTTTTCAGTATCAGAGAAAATTGATGAGCCTAGTTTAAATCCAATTGAATCCAAGCCGGGAGATTATCTAGCATTGGTATTTTGCAGGCAATGGATCAAGAACAAGCTAAAAACAAACGCGATTGTTTTGTACAATCAGGGGCAATAATCCAGAAAGGGGACTGAGGTCTTTGGGATATAAAGATGTTTTAAGTTTCATCAAAATCAGATAAAAATTATGACCTCTGCCACAAGCTTCATATTACACACTTTTACACAATTTGCGTACAAAGAGCGTCCATTTTGTTGGGCAGTTTCATTTCAATTTTTTCGAAATGCGAATTTAACCTTCATTATGGTGGAGAGAGAGAGAGAGAGATGGGGTTTAACGTCAACTCGACACAAACTAGGTCATTTCCGGACTAACATGTGTTTTAATTTTATTTCAATAATTCCCTTGCATACAGGGATCTTTAGCAGTGGGAGGACCCGGAGAAAACCCACGAGGTTGGACAGGCAACCCTACTCCTTGTCATGTACAACCGGAGATTCGAAACCACGCCAGTTGACTCAATGACAGACCTTATGATACAGCGCGCACATGCTAGCACGTGCTAACCATTCGGCCATCCAACCCGCCTCATTATTGTGGAATGGTGATATATTTAAATGGTTTTTAAAATTGGAAAAAAAAATTGTGACCTCTAGAGAACCTGCAAGCTAAAATGTGATTTTTCGAACAATCAGGGGCCATAATCCAGGAAGTTACGTTCGGATATGTCGATTATCAAAAAGAACCAAGATCTTAGTGTGTAACGGTGATATATTGTCACTTTTTGTGACATCTAAATTTTGTACAATCAAGGGCCATAATTCAGGAAGTTACGATCCGATATGCGCAAATATCAAAAGGAACCAAGATATGTGGGTTATAAACATGTATTTCAAGTTTCATCAAAATTGGATCAAAATTTTGACCTCTAGAGGGTCCCCAACCTTGATATGCGTACGGGGGTGGGTGGCATTTTGTCTGGCAGTTTTGGTCCGATTTTCATGAAATTCAAACAATACGGTATAACGGTGATATAATAATACATTTTTTTAAATCGGATAAAAATTATGACTTCTATAGGGTCCACAAGCTAAAAACGCGATTTTCCGTACAATCAGGGGCCATAATTCAGGAAGTTACGGTCCGATATGCGCGAATATCGAAAAGAAGCAAGATCTTAGGGAGATAAACCTATATTTCAAGTTTCGTTGAAATCGGAAAAAAATTGTGACCTAGAGTGCCCATAAACAATTGTGGACATATGGACGTCCAGACGGACAGGGATGACGACAATATATGTCCACATAAAAATATGGGCATATAAAAATGCAAATACAAATAGCAATCAACAAATGTGCTATCTACATAAAAATCATTTTCTGTTATGTTAGAGAAATAAACTGTTGGGTTTTTTTTAAAACTAACAACAAATTTTTTTGAGAATGATATTACTACTTGTTATTTTTACAGAAATTATAAAGAAATTTCACCCACATACATCTCAGACGTGTCAACCCCCAGGTATGAAAAAAAACCAGGAGACCAGCAATGAAAAAACAGGAGAATCCAGGAGATTTTTTTTTTCATCAAATAACTTCATTTTTATTGATAATAGGCTAATACTAAATATCTTTAGCACTTTTTACACTGTGTACTCGTTTTTGCTGCGTACAACAATGAACAAATGAAAATTCCCTTTGGGTTTCGGATTAATAAAATGCTACCCAAAAGACTTTAATACGGTACTCCAAAAAGTGTTTTCAGTCACATTTGAGTGACATCATAAATAAGTGGTAGGCCTATAGAATCGGTCGTAAAAATTTTACAACTGAAATCTGCGAATATTAGCCAGTTAAAACTTATAAAAATCGTAATAATTTGAATGATAACATTTATATTCTTGATAATATCACATAAAAAGCAGGCTATATTTAGTCGAAAGTAGCAAATTTCAGTCCTCGAAACCGACAAATCCTGTTTTCTATGGCTGTAATCGCCACTCGGCAAACCTCAGCAGATTCCAGAAACCTACATCTAGCTAGATGTAGAGTAACGGAATCTGCCGATGTTTGCTGAGTGTGTAATCACGTGAATGGAAATCCCCGGAAACGTGATGTCAGAGCGGTATTTTCCCGCAAGTGTCTCCCGTATATAAACAGTAATTGTGCTTATATTTCGATAACTTTTGAGTCAGATTATTTTGCAAATATTGATATCGATATCAAAGTATTATAATGCAATCGCTAGTAATATATTTAACTGAAAAGGTAATCCAACATCGCAGATTGAAAGTCGGCTAAATTTCAGTCAATGGCTTCCGATTTCACGCTAAAGTCACGTGGCATGAATTGTTTTCTATTCACAGGAGAATTGTCAAAATCGCATAGACAGACGTTTACTAGCCATGGGGTAAAATGATAATTATGGAAAGAGCCTTGTACAGGTCTCTATTTTATGTAATCTGACACCATTAAAAATATAATTTATTTACTCCAAACAATACTACATGTAATCACAAACACATGTTGGGCTGTCAAGCGTATTACCGGAATCAGAAGTTTCCGGTCAAATTCAGCCAATCATGAGGTCGATTTATGAAACGGTAGTAAGGGAGTTACCTCCCTTTGTGAAAATAAAAAAAGTATTTGGCATACGACCATTTTCCGTGAGAAATTTCCTCCCGTGCGGGAGATCGGGAGAAAAGTCGTGAATCCGTGAGTCTCATGGAATAAACAGGCTAGTTGACACGTCTGATACATCTTCAATAGAAGGCTTGATATCTTATCCAGTCCTTCACGTAATACCCAGCATATATCAGCATTAATTACGATTGGCTACTGACCCAGCTGGGGAGCCTATCAGATTCCTTGATCATCGCGAATACCAAGTCTCACTCTTTCTAGCTAAATTGTCTACCTGTGATAATCCAGTTGCAAACTTCAAGATTCATTCAATGTCAAGGTTTCCGCGGAGGTCGCCATGTTTGATTTGAGTGTGTTTGTGTCACAACCTCTGATTGGACGCCATCGTTCATGTGTCTCCATTAAAGGGAGATAACGTAGCTATGATTTCGGAAATTGCAGACCAGTCTAGCAACGTCTAGATGTTGTAAACTTGCGGTTGTTGTTTCGGAAACATGAACAACATAAAGAATACAGCTCACTGTAAGTATGTATCATATTATTTTCAGCTGGTATTGCTGATTTTTGTCTGAGTTAACAGACTAAAAATATACCAAGAAATATAAAGTTCTTGTCTGCCTTTTGGTCCAGACTAAGGACTAAATTAATAAAACAGCTAGCTATTTTTTTCAAAAAATACAACTTACAACTTGTACTGTTCCTTTCTTTGGAATGTGATATCCTCTTTTACCTAAACTCTCGAAATTGATATGTCCCTGAAAATATAAAAACATAATGCTAAACACTTTTTCTTTAGTTTTTAAATTTTTCTTTTGATACAAGAGTATTCGGTTCCTCTCAAATTCCATCTTTCTTTTAAGTCTAATGGAACTCCAATGTCAAACAGCGATCACCTTTATAATTCTTTATTTCATAGCTTTCACATACTACAGACCATTATAAATGTCTTGTTCTGGAATACTCTTGGAGCATGTTTAGGATTATGTAAAAAAAACTGATTTATCATGTATATTACTGCATTATTTATATATCAAGTGAAATATCCTTTTTATTTTTACATAAAAATTACAAATATATTGGTTTGTTAAATTCAAATAAATAAAATAGTACTTACTAAATAAGGAGATGGTGCATTATCATCAGATAATTTAAAGAAATATGCAGAAACTGGAAGAACTAAATGTTTTGGACAAAATGAACCACTGGCACCAATTTCTGCCGTAAATCCATCTACAGCTCCAATTGGTTCGATTCTACCATTTAATATAGATTCCTAAAATTAGATTAAAGTTTTTGTACATTAAAGCAGATTTTTTACTGGTATTTAAGAAAAACACTTTAAAACACAGAGCACTTTGTATTACTCAATATTAGTCTGTAATTCTTCAGCTGTATAATAATAGTGAAAACAATTAGAGGAATTGAACTATTACTATAAATTAAGAATAATCTAAACTTCCATCAGCAATTAGGTTTTTATGATTCTAGACGGAAAGATTTGATGATCTGAGTGGATTTGTTTACTAATTTTAGCTTCGACAGACTACATACTAGGTTATACCTCAACACTGGCTTTATATACAGGATGGAAATATTGAACAAAGACAGATGGTCATCCAACATGGCAAATCAACACATACGCTATCATAATGACAATTATATTTATAAACCAAATAATAGAGGAATTGCCATTTTCCAATTAAAATACCTCAAAATTTCCCAGCAAACAATTAGTTGAAGCAGGAGCACTTGTACTAAGAACTCGACCACTCTCTTCTAATATCTGATCTCCATCACCTTCTGATGCTAGAGCTAATTTAGAACATGACAGAGCACTGAAATAGAAAATCAATAAATCTTCATAGCCATATATACAAAATACCAGAACTTTTTTTTTATTTATTATAACTGAAAAATAATAAACTAGATGGAAATGACATTTAAAGGAAGCAATTAGAACAATATGAAAGTGTTGTATATAGTTGTTATGATAATAATTAAGAGAGCTTTAGAGATTAATTATTTGAAATTGTTAATAATCAATAAACAGATGAAAACTTTAGCCCAATAACTCTGACAACAATTATAAGATATTGTTGAAAATTAATCATGAACCTTAACACTATGCATAAATTTCAAGTCAATTAGATGATAACTTTAAGACTCATGGTTGTGGTTGACGGATAGGTGACAACAATACAAAACCACATTCTAATGTGGGCGCATAAAAATCATTGAAAATCAGAAGCATTCTTCCATTCAATAGAAAAAATAACCAATATAAGTTTCTTAAAGATCGGACCATAATTGAAGCCTTTTAGTTGCAGACAAGATTTCTTGACAAAGAGGGATAACTCTGGAATTTGAATTTCAACAGTGTTCTTCCTTTCAAAAGGATAGCCAACCAATATGAATAACAATTATAGCCTCTACTAACAAAAAATGTGACCGACTGACCTAAAGACGGAGACCCAGGGTGACAGCAGTGTACAACTACATTAAAATATAGGTGTATATTTTGCAAAAGAGCTCTTATTTACAGTAAATGAAACAGCTGAGCATGAAAGTTCTATCACAATTGAAAACTTACTATTTAATAGCTCTGGCATTTGTTAAAGTACTATCATAGTCAAATCTTCCTGATTTTCTTTTAGTTGGTGCCTAAAAATAAATGACATGCTACTATAAATATCATCATCATTAGAGATCTGTTCCCATGAACAAATTCAGTTCATCTCTTCACCTCTTTTGATCTCAAAGTATAAAATTTACAATGTCCAATATCACTGCAACTGATATTTGGCTATATTTTTAGGCCCATAATTGAATTTTAGATATTGGCTCCTCAAAGTCAAAGTCAATATATCAATGTTTGGCATCAATTTCGGGAGAGTTGACAAAGGCTGATGACAAGTGTGAAACAGATTGGTAAAATCTGAATGTTCCCCTCTGCTATCTTGGGATTTGAACATGAAATTCTAGACGAATCTAAATAAAGACTTACGGGACTAGACTGTGATGGTAGACCGGTTCTTTGATTAAACATCATGGAGGCACTTTTGGTTAAGTGACGTCGGAAGCTCATGATGTCCTCAATTGTTGGAGAATTTAACACCTTGTTTAGAGGATTTTTGTCCTGCTGTAAATATACAATATGTGAAAATAAAACCCTTGAATTAAATATTTATTCAATCAAAATCTTAGTTTCAACAAGTAATTGGCCGATTCAATAATCTATGTTCACTGAATGCGGCATGAAGACTGCAGAAATTTAATTAGAAAAGACTCCATTTTGATGATTGTAGGATTGCAAGATTTGTGCAGTCCTGTTTTTAACTCCTCAATATTCCCCCCTTTTCCATGCAGGTTGCCATGCTATGATGATGTCATGGATATGAAATTGTTAAGCTGATATCGCACATGGTGGACAATGATTGGCCTTTATTCTTGTTCAGTTATATCTTGACTGCTAAATATTAAAGAGCTTATGTTTTTACAATTTGTCTTTTATGGTGAGGGTATAAGACTTGACACATATCAACTGTTAATATTTAGGTCTATTTACTTGCGCTTCTCTAGAAAGTATTTATATGCAAACCTTATCATCTGTTTTGCATAGTGAGAAACCATTGGTAACAGCTACTTCATTATCAGAAGAATAGTCTGGTACAGAGAAAGCCCTTTTAGGTGAATTATGACAATGTTTGGTATATGCTGTATCACTATCACATTTACTAGTGGTTGGAAATAACGGAGCTTCACTTAACAATTGAGATTTTTCTAAACATGAATCTTGTAAAGACGAGCTCAAGTTTAATTGACTAGTGTTATACAAATCTTTATCACAATTATCGTCTTCTAAATGTAAACCTGAATCAAAAAACACATCATTACTTCCAGTTTTAAATATATTAAACTGATCTTCCACACTAAATTTATCTAATAAATCAGTCACTTTCTGAACTCCATTTTCTACTTCAGTTTCTGATGTATGGCCATTTGAAGATTCTTTAGGATAACGTAAATAGAAACCATTTTCAGACTTTTTCTTTTTTTTGTCATTACATATTAGAAAGCCATTCTCCGATAGGCTGTGTTCCTTATCACAAGTGTGACAGAAGCCATTTTCTGATTGGTCAGTTCTTATAGCTGGTTGTATTTCACTGCTGTCTGAAAGACTTTGGGCAAATAATTTCCTTGGTACTTCTTCGAACGAACGTTTTCTCTCTCGTTGGCGTTTTAGAGGTGTCTCTACTTCCTCGGTAGAAGCGCACGCTGTTGTTTTTAGATCACAGTTTTCACCAATATAAAATTTACATCGTGGAGTATATTCATCACTCAAATTATCAGACAGGGACGAGTAAGAGAACGAATAGTTTTGTAAATTAGTTAAATATTCATTGATGTCCATGGGTTTTATTTTGGCTGAAAGATAATCTTTTTCCCATGACACACAAGCTTCAGCCTCACTCAAGTCTAACCGTTTTTTCTTAGTACAATCGACCGATGATCCTGTAGCTGTTGCTAGAAGAATTTTTGGACTATGCAAACGTTTTGAGGAATTGTCTGTCACCTGTAGACTAGAGGATGGGTATTCCTGTTTCAATGGTAGTAAATTGTCACGGAAGATTTGGCGTGAAGGGGACTTTCTTTGATCAGGATACTGAACAGATGCTTGGTGTGAAGTTGAACATCCCTGACCAGTCAGTAAATTCTGTGTTGATGTGGAGGCCTTCCCTGTTGGAGTAGCAGATCTCTTGGAACTAGCAACGGTTGAATGTCGATGTGTGGACTGACGAGGGGATCTCTCTTGTGGACAGCCACAACCAGGTTCATTGATTTTGGAATCTTTTTTAGGTTCTGTTTTGGAATGGTGTCTTGCTTTGGTTGATGGTTCATACTGATAATAGACTTTATCTAGATAGTTTGGTGGTATATGCTGTTCTGTGTCAATTATGTTTTCTCTCATTTTGGATTCTGTTTTATTTTTGGGACTAATTCTTCCTTTCTTACTGGAAGGACAGATTTGCGAAGTTTCTTTACTACAGATTAATGCGGGTATTTCAGGTTGACGAGGTAAAGCTTCCACAGTTATGCTCAGACCAACTTTCGTAAATTCTGCTTTAGGAAATGTGTGGAAGTCAGGATTCTCATGGAACTGTTCTGTTACTCCTTCACCTGGCACTGATAATCTGAAAGATAATTTCATAAATTTGATTTCTATACACTACAGCTTAACCAACCTCATTTAAGGTATATTTCCTCAACAGTCAAGATCCAAAATACATAATCATTGATTGGAAAAGATATGTTGGAAAAATTATATTTGATGCCAAAACAACTCTTATCTTTGGAGATACTTTGAGCCCCACATTTTAAATAATATAAATATTAAAGATCACTCATTGTTATTCGCATTTTTCTAACAATATATATTTTTTCATGGCTTAATCAAGACAAAAACATACACAAATTGATTATTCAAAATTTAATCAAGAAAACCAAATTAAAATGTCAACCAGATCCAAGATGGCTTCTTTTTGCCATATTATCTAACAAAATAGTTTTTATTATGCTATTATATATAACCTTGTAATATTTGACTAACCTGTATCTATTATATAACTTTGCAATATTTGACTAACCCGTATATGCTATTATATATAACTTTGTAATATTTGACTAACCTGTAGACAATATTTTATTATGCTATTATATATAACCATGTAATATTTGACTAACCTATAGACAATATTAAGAGATAAAGTACCGCCAGTTGATAATAACCAGGAACTCAACTGGGAGAAATGTAGATACGATCTGACTGCCTGCACTAAAAAACTACTAGAGACACTTCCTTCTATCTTCTCATGTCTGTAAAAAAAACAAACACAAAAACATTACGATAAAATAATAAAATTGTCTATTGTATTTGTCTGTTTCTAAATTGATAACAATTAGGATAAAGTATTCATTTACTTGGAATAATTATAATGAAAACTTAGCAATTATATGTAAGCCAACTGGGTTGACATCACCTGAAAATGAGTGGTAATTTAAATGAAGACGTACATGCATCTAAACCAATTCTCTAAAATTGTGCTGTCTCCAGTTTCTATGACAGTAATTAACATTCTGTAATTATTTATCAGATTTTTAGTTTGTTATTAAACTTGTTCTTTTTAAAATGACTTTTAAGAACATTAGACCTGTATATACAGCCATTAGTATTGCTCCAGTTCAATGGAAATTATACCAACATTTGGTTCAGTTTAAGTTTCAGTTGTTTACGCCAGTTCGTCTTCTTCTAAACCAGGAATTGTTTTCGGGATTTAGATATAAAGGATACCACGTAGATTGAGGAAGTCAATCAAGACAGATTAAGTACAATTGATTATAACGTAATAAAAGGGTTGATCACTCAATTGCTTAATCCCAGCCATTATCAACAACAATCAAGATAAGTAATAGTTCCTCAGTAGTTAATATTTTTTGGTAGTCTGTATATGATTCAACATATTTTGATGTCCAATTCTGCATATTCCGAGTAGGACATGTGTGGCACATACGGGCGAAACAGCAGCCATGGTCTAAAGACATATATGCTACAATAGAAAACTTTGCAATATTTTGAAGTCTTGATTATCCAGCCATCTGATTACTGGTAGATGTCTGATCAAGGTCAAAGGTAATACGCTTTTGTCACATCAAGAATGACACACATCGGTTGCCAGGCAAGATACACCAACATTATGCAAGAGATGAATAGAGAACAAACTAAAAAAAGATAGGTTGCCAGGCAACGAAACATACGCCCACAGCAGCTAAATCGTCCGGGCAGTCAACAAGAATTGTCACATATTTTTTACTTTTTCGGTAATGAAACATTTATAATACATTAAAATCTGATTAAGAGTAACAACTCATTAAGTAATTATCAGAAAACCATTAGAATTGGTTTGGTTTTTATAAAGTTTTGCCCCATGCTAACGTTTAGTATAGGAAACTTTAAACATCATGGATTTAGCTGTTTAAGTCATAAAAATTCATTGCAAATCAATATACTTGTTTGTCTCAAGGGCCATAACTTTGGCAGTAATTATCGGAAATCGTTGAAAATCAATATGATTCTTCGTCTCATGACATCAAACACTCTGTATCAATTTAAAGTCAATCGGATATTAACTTTAGCCTCTAGAGCATTTACAAGATTTTTTGAAGTGATCAAGGGCCATAACTCTGGCAGTAATTATCGAAAATCTTCGTCTCATGACCTTTAACACTGTGTATAAATTTAAACTCAATCGGATATTAACTTTAGCCTCTAGAGCGTCCACAAGATTTTTCAAAGTGATCAAGGGCCATAACTCTGGCAGTAATTATTGGAAATCGCTGAAAATCAATAGGCTTCTTCGTCTAATGACCTTAAACAATGTGTATAAATCTAAAGTCAATCGGATATTAACTTTAGCCTCTAGAGCCTTTACAAGATTTTTTCAAAGTGATCAAAGGCCATAACTCTGGCAGTAATTATCGAAAATTGCTGAAAATGAATAAACTTCTTCGTCTCATGACCTTAAACACTGTGTATAAATTTAAAGTCAATCGGATATTAACTTTAGCCTCTAGAGCCTTTACAAGATTTTTTCAAAGTGATCAAGGGCCATAATATCAATCGGATATTAACTTTAGCCTCTAGAGCTTCCACAAGATTTTTCAAAGTGATCAAGGGCCATAACTCTGGCAGTAATTATCGGAAATCGCTGAAAATCAATAGGATTCTTCGTCTCATGACCTTAAACACTGTGTATAAATTTAAAGTCAATCGGATATTAACTTTGACCTCTAGAGCATCCATAAGATTTTTTGAATTGATCAAGGGCCATAACTCTGGAAGTAATTATCGGAAATTGCTGAAAATCAATAGGCTTCTTCGTCTCATGACCTTAAACACTGTGTATAAATTTAAAGTCAATCGGATATTAACTCTGACCTCTAGAGCGTCCACAAGATTTTTTGAAGCGATCAAGGGCCATAACTCTGGCAGTAATTATTGGAAATCGCTGAAAATCAATAGGCTTCTTCGTCTCATGACCTTAAACACTGTGTATAAATTTGAAGTCAATCAGATATTAACTTTAGCCTCTAGAGCGTCCACAAGCAATTGTGGACGCCGGACCGACGGCCGGACCGACGGGGGCGATGACAATATACGACCACATTTCAATGTGGGCGTATAAAAAGGGGATTTTTCGTACAATTAAGGGCCATAATTCAGGAAGTTACGATCTGATATGCGCAAATATCGACAGGAACCAAGATCTTTGGGTTATGAAGATGCATTTCAAGCTTCATCAAAATCAGATGAAAATTGTGACCTCTAGAGTGTCCACAAGCTAAAAACTTGATTTTCTGAACAATCAGGGGCCATAATCCATGAAGTTTCAATCTGATGCCAATATTGAAAGGGACCTGTAGAGTGTCCACAAACAAATTGTGGACAGACGTCCAGACAGACAGGGGCAACCACAATATACATCCACATGAAAATGTTGGGTATAAAAATGTGCATAATACATTCAAAACTATATTATTTTTATTTGATTATGGTAAACTCGCCTTTTCTTCATTATCTCTATATACCATCTTTCTAATAATATACTCTTCTCCTTCATTGAACCAGCCAATCCTTCTACTGTTGAGGCCTCCTTTTGGCCATGCTTACAACCAGGTAGTAAGAAAACGTCAATATAAGTTGGCACTGAATTACGCCAAGCACAGTGCATGCGTCTCTTGACCTCTGCAGCACGAGAACACTAAAATACAAGGAATGACAAGAATAGCAGCATGTTACTATGTACAAGATAATAGATATTGATGTTAAAGCTTCTACTGTTATTACTACTCAAAGGTAATTTAATTAATACGACACAGGACATGAGTAGGAAATATCAAATGATCTTTTATCTAGGAGACTAAAACATTGATTTTACAGCACTACCAATACCATAGAAAGTCGGTCCATTTTTCTCTTTAAAAAGAGGCAGTTTCAATGTTGGTATATAAGATAAATGCACAGGGTGAAAAACAATTGTGATTAATTGCAAATAGACTTTCACAATAATAAATAGTATTCTTCAAATTATTGATTATTCCTAAAGTTACCCTTTCTTTCTATTGACTCCATGAAGTTATTTTTTTCTGTCTAGATATGCTATGAAAGAATAACTCATTCTATTCATAAACATTAAGATAAAGATGGCATCTAACCTACTTTTTAGATTACTATTTAAAAGTTTTTAGCCCTTATTTTTATTAAAGTTTATTAATAAAATCACTGAAGGACATATAACACAACACCCTTGTGATATCACCCAATATTTACATTACAACAATTACTGGTAAATTTGAATACACAATGTATTTTTGTACAATAATTCGATATGAAAAATAATTTATCTAATGATTAATATAGTATTTTTGAAACAGGTTTCAAAGTGTTTCGGTTCTGTTATGCAAGATCTTTTCCGACGTTCCAAAGTAAATATACGGTGCTAAGACCACCTAAAGATAAATTTTAAATGTTCCTATTATTAATTAGAACAGGTTTCACTTTAGTTTTTTATATTTTACGCTGACATTTTATTCCTTTAAATCTTCGTAGTGCAAAAACGGAAAATTTGACCTTTTGACCCCCAGGGCCACAAAGAACAAAGGTGAATTTAGCAAGTTTACATTTTTATTGAAAGAGTGATCATTTTCAGCATATTTTCATGATACAAGAATGGCTGCGCATTCACTTTTAGTGCAAATGACCTCATTTGACCTTTGACCCCAAATATCTCGAAAACGCCCTTACGATGGACTGATTATCGCTCAGCAACGTATTCTACGCAAAATTTTACTACAGAAAAGTTGGGCCTGGTTTTGTGCCCATTTGATGGACACTCCCTCGAACTGAGTCTCCGGTCTAATATAAAATTTGAGAATCAAATATCTATGTTCACTGAAAATCATATTTGTTATATAAAATATTTACCTCCTCTTTCTCCTGAAGACATAAGTGACTACCCCCTCCTTGAACAGTTGGACAATGGGATCCTTCTCTTCTTCCTTTAACAGACAGATCTGGGGTACGGGCTTCTAATATCAACAAACCAACCTCCTCCAACACTTCCCGTGGATCCCTAACAACCACATCCATATCACAAAACTCAACATCTGGAGAAAAAAACCCATTAACATTTCTTAAATCTAAATTAATCAAGGAAACAGAAATTCACTTTTATTTTATAATACATGTCAAATTATTTCCTGAGTATAAAATTGGCTGAAGGAAAGGGGATTATTGTCATTTCTGGGGAATTGGGGACAGACATAGGATCCATTGCATTATCTTTTAGGCTTCATAGATGAAATGAGTGCCGTGTACATGCACAAGATGGGGTATGCCTACACTTTCCAGAACTTCTGATACCACTTAATTTATCTGTTCTGCCGTGTGACAGGTTTGTTTTTAACTTGACATTTTAGGTACTTGGTGCATTATGGTTTGTTATGTCGCTCTGCCATTAACCTTGACATTTTGCATTGTCTGTGTTGTCTTATACCTCTCTGGGGCTGGATTAATGGGCCCCAAAAGTAGTTATAAAAATTTTGTACCATAATTAAGTATGTTTGTGCCAAATAAATCTATTATCTCCCATACTGATGAACAAATGGTATTTGTGTGAGTGTAACAGGCAATGCCCCCTTTTAACTTTTGATGTAAAGGCCCTAGAGACATTTTCAGTCAGGGGTCCCAAGCAAGCACCAATACTGGCATATTTAATAATTTATCTTAGGGAAAAAACCCAAATAATAATTCACAATGTCGATATCCTTCTTTAAAAATCTAGTTAAAGTATTATCATTCCTCTATCAAGGTATCTTCATGATGACTAACTACATGTAAATGATTGTAGCAAAGTTTTAACAAATAATTTATCTTCCTGTCAAACTATTTTTGGAAACCTGAGCAATTGTGGACAGACAAACAGCAAACTGTTGAGCAACCACTAAGGACACTCACACTGTATGGCGGAAACATTTTTTAAAACAGTAATTGTTTAGTCAAGTGTAGACCCTATGTTCTTTTTTTTTTTTTTTTTTTTTTTAAAGAATAACCTTTCAGTTGGTTTAACATCTCCAACATTTCTATTATAGAATAGATGACCTTTTGTAGTGTGTCAGAGATTACTACAGCTTAAATTGGGTTAAAGAAGGATGGTTTTGTTAAGATAAATACTAAACAGGTTTTTTTTTCTATATTCAGTAGAGAGCAATATATCAGATATATTATAAGTAATCAGTTTGTGGGGACACAAGTTAGTGTTAGGTTTGCGGTTGTGGGTATAACAGTGTCAAGTTCCTGTCCAATTGGGGTTGGGTTTTGGGGTTGAGAATATCTGGGAGTGGGTATGGGGGGTGGGTTGAGGGATCCTGTCCTATCCAGAAGATACAAATCTCTAAAACAATTTCTAAAACAATTGATTGAAATTGGACCCTAAGAATATTTTGACAGTAATATGTTATCTGTTAACGATACTGTATTATTAAAGACCACTTAAGATCAAAAATCTAAATTTCATGTATGTATAGCCCATGGTTACTATATCAACTTTACGGCAAGTTCACAACAATCTGATTAAAATTAAGTCCGCTGTTAACGTTTAAGTATCCGACACGCCAAAACGCTTTTTCAATTACGACCTTAATCCGGTTGATTGGCTGATGACGTCACAGGCACTACACATAGGATATACATTATCTATACAATATCTCACCGTATGTACAATATAGCACTATCAATACACACGGCAACTGGGCAAGCGTCTATTGACGGTCCAATTACCACGTGACTGGCCTAGTCATAATCACCGAATTATCGTCTTTCATTGGTATAGATTAGACATTTGTCATTGGAATATTTTAGAGTGAATTTAAAATGCAGTATCATGCCGTAGATCAATTTAAGCTGCCTTTGTTTAAATAGGCCACGTGTCAAATGAAGATGACTCAAGAAATTAGCGCATTTACCGGTAATTTGGATAACATCGTAAGTACAGAAATACAAATGGTGCCAGCTCATTTGTCGATATATTCATTATTAGCTATATATAATAATAATAACCATTTCTATACATAAAGAACAACTACAGTGAATATGGAATTTTCCAATGACTATGCATAACATGTACAATAGATGATTATTAGATCGCACTCATTTCTCTGCCAATCAACGCTTGGTATCTTATTATCATGTACCGTTCCATGTACTACGGGTGTAGTAAATGAGGTTAAACTTTGCCGCGAAAATTGCACGGGATCATTCGTGGAGTTCCTGGTGCTGTTTGGTGAGTGATTAAACTGTCAATGCTGTTGTTGGTGTTGTTTGTTACAAATTTAACGTCCAATACATAATGCATGATATTATGGACAGGTTGATTTGATTAAGTTATTTACTTCAATAAAAATAGAAGTTAGGTAAAAACACTAAATAATAAAAAGTTCTTGTATATCTAAACGTCACTTTAAAACAGATTTAAAATAATTAAAAGCTCTTGTATATCTAAAAATCACTTTAAAACACGGTTTTAAAAATGGCTTGAAAATCATTGTCGTGGGAAGAGAGGGCGGGTCATCTTCTCACTTTGTCATAATGAAAGTTAAAATAGGAGATGCAATAGTAAAATACTTTTATTATAAAGAAGATAACCGATGTTAGACATTATAACCTAATCGTATCAAAAACGTTAATCCATCCATCAATTAAATGTTGTTTAAACGCCAATCAACAAACAATACGAGGCTACTTGATTACAAAAACACCGGTGAGCAATAATTATTGGGTATATAGTAATTTTAAACAACTTATTAGTATAACTTAATTTATTTTATACAATTAATGTGTGTGTGTATGATTCTACCATTAGTTCGTTCGTTAGGTATTACGCACACGTTCCACTTAGAGTGATGTCTTTGATCTGGCCGGCGTAAAAAAGATAATTACCTAATCAACATTCTTAATCCCAGTAACACTCACTGCTAACACCAACTTGAAATTAATTTATGACCCATGCCTGTATAACTTTTATAGTCGGATTGATTAATTAATGACAGAGATTAACGACACTACACTTTATGTGGAAAAGCAAAGTGCTCGCAGTAAAAACCACATAACTGGACCCGTAAATTTTTTACATATTAAAAGTGTTCGTCCAATAAGTTCCATATTGTAAAAAAATAATTAAGAGTTCAGGACTTCAAAGTTTAAAAGTTGTAGGCACTCTAAATTGGATCTTAAATTAAAATGAATTACAAAACAAATTATTCCGTAGTCAATTGTTTTATTTAATTTGGGGGATTAAGGAATCCTTCAGACGTTAAAGAATACACACGCCGGCTGTATATAGGTAATTAAGGAATAAACATTCCGAATATGCATTCGGTCACTGGCGTCTGAGGGGATTAAGAGTGTTTTCGATAATTGGCAAAGCTGTATTTACGGAAGGTCTATTTTTACGACTTTGAATGAAGATAACTGAATTAATTTCAACCAGATTGGCGTGAACTTGCCGTAAAGTGGATATAGTAACCATTGGCTACACGTATCTCAAATCTTCCGGGACCATCTTATGTGCACTTTAACAAATACTTGTATTAAGATCTGGATTTATTAAAAATCTGATTGATAGTTTACAGAATGTGTCATTTATAATGAAAGACATAACAAATACAATGATGTATGGCAACAGTACAATATACATAATACATACGTAAGCAATTACCTGTCAAGTACATTTGAAACACCGTGCGAATAAACAATACATCCGATACATAAATGCTGACAGATTTTAAAATACAAGTATTAATGTATTTGAGATGTACAGGAATAATACAACTGTGCAAGCATAATGAGAGACTGTCAGCTGTTAAAGTAGCAGGTGATAGGAATTCCTATTTCAACCACCTACTTTGATTCTTCTATTGCCAGTAGTACAATTATTATTACATGTAATCTTGACCTAGAAATATGCTCTCCAGCTACTAAGCCCATTCCACTGACTGTTTAGCTGCAGTATTTTCTATCATCAATGGCAGAAATCCAAATCTATCTACTAACTCCTTTCAATTGAGAAAATCTATAACATGATTCACTATATGCTTAAATGTCTTCAACATGCCAGATTAAGTGTCGAATCCATTCTTTCAGTCAACTGATAACAAGCCACTATTTGGATTTTTTGCCTTGATGACTGCTTCTCTATACACAGATTGACTGATGTGACCTACTTGTCCATGTCCTTTAGTCTAATCTTAGTAACATGACCTGATTATAATAGCTTGATAAATACTGGATGTATCTTAGCTGTAAGTCACATCTAGATCTAACAAAAACTTGATGAACATAGCAACCACCATTTTCTAACTGATCATTATAACCATTACTTGTATTACTTCTGCTACATCCATAACATACATATATACCGTCTGCCAAAACACTGTACCATAATGGATAATGATCAACTTCCAGTGAAATTACAAATCAAGTCTATTTATACGGCCGATCTCTGGTTTGGCTTTTCCTTTCAGGAAATCTTAATTACATGTACATGTATAAATGGCCACCAGATTCTGACCACCATTTTATCAACAAGAAAATTACAGATTTTAAATCCAACCAACTCCTTTGCAGCTGCACATTTAACTTTTTTTCACTGCATTTTAAAGTAGCTAAATGTTTAACTCAGTATCATCCACAGTCTTCGACATTGCAAACATGACTTATTAGTCAATTTAAATCAGCATTGATGTTGTTATCTTACCATGAAAAGATGGGCTTCAGATATCCAGTATCTAAGACAAAATGAAAATTTTAAAATGCTTTTGAGTGCCATTTGCAATGAAGTTTTGATGAACAAGGCTAACCATGTCCCACAGGAGAATACTATCGGTGTAGACTGGAATAACCAGATGCCAAAGACTGCCATTCAATTTGAACTCTTCGCATATTTCGCCGAACATAACTGATTAGAAATTACAGTAAAAACAGAAACAATTGAATGTAAATCAGTTTATATACATCTATTACTAACAATAACATTATTATAGTGTTGCAACCCATTTGTGTCCATTTCTAGTTGCCAAAGAATAGCGATTTAACTCCTTTAAACATGAGT